TATTTCTATGGCCTTGTTCACATCTGAATGCATTAAGCTAAACGCCTGTCGCTGGCAAAAAGTACAGGAGCTTTTTTTGGGCATATTACAGCTCATTTTGGCCCTATAGACTCAATAGGAAACGCGCGTTTGCTCATTAACATCAATGGCCTACAATCTGCTTACAAAAACACACATTTTGACAGTACAGAAACGCTGAGGTGTGAACCAGACTTAAGACTACTCACCCTCGTGACATTTGATAGCATTCCCCTAGCATATTATAGCCACAATCACCCTATTATAGGATGAATGTGTACCAGCAAATGTGGCAGCTAATGAAGATCCATCATATGTCACAGTAAGCCGTCAAACTAGCATTGAAGCTGGCTGGTGAATTTGCGTGCCTGTACTCTCCATAGGGCTTTGTTTTTACAGTTTCAGCATTAGGACCATTAATGTAAGCTGGAACTAACCAGCCTGGCACATCAGGCATGAAGGATGACATCCTTCTAAACAAGGGAGCAGCAAGTGTATAGCCCTGTCATATTGATACCAAACCACATGACCATGTCCCATTGTTTTATAGTCAATGTCTGCCAATAGACTAATCTGCAAGTGGGCATCTCTACGTTTTCTTCTTGTGTCCATCCACCTCTCTTCGGAAGGACTTCCTAAACATGGTGCCAGGTGTCCTGACAGGGGAGCTCACACAACTGATGTTAGATTGAATAATAATTTTTAAAAAAATCAGAAAAATTATCCAAAAGAACCCTAACCCCCTTCCCAGATCCTTATGCGAGTGCGGTGTCCACCATTGGACTTCTCTCTCTATATAAAAACACACTTATGGCACATAGGTCTCCACCTGTTTGTTGTTTCTCTACCATGAGTCTCCAGGGCCTTTAGGTTGTAATCATGTCAGTAATCATCGCCATTACATCTCATTGGAGACTACTGGGTGTTCCTCCAATTCCTCTTTGATTTGCCTATCTGCTGGCACAAAAGGCACCGAGGTGCTAACACTAAAGCAACATGCAGTACTATACTGTCCACCTGCCTACAGTTTTTCAACCAGTAAAATAAGCATGTCCAGCCCCACTGACAATATAGCTGGCTAAACACAGTTAGATTACTAACTATGCCTTACAGGAACCTAAAGGATTGGCTATAAACTGAATGTATTGTTTAGATAAGCCCACACATTACATAGCTTTTGTTATACATTACATAGCTTTTGTTATATATAAAAGGATAGTGTACATCTGTTGTATAATTAGTAGGTGTATGCATATACATTTTCATATTTTTATTTACAAAAATCAACATTATCGTTAATATACAAGATGAGGAGAGCCTTGAAATGTCTGCGGAAGAGAAATGGAGGCAGTTTTCACAGTAGAATCTTTAAGATACCTATAAACAATTAAAAAATTCACCAGATGACACAGTATGCTTCTACTCAGTGACATAATAAGCTGTTGATATGCCATATAATAGGCTCTTGCTGAGTGAGCTAAACTTTGCCGCCTAGTGATAACATAATGCTGCTAGTGGATGACATAACTTGATGTCACTCAGTAATACATTATGGTGCTACACATACCAATGTCCTCCATGGTATGGGTACTAAACTACCAATTCTCCCAACTCTCATCATTGTGTACTGCAGCCAGTCCTGAGACATGCATAATGACAGAACAAGGTCCAATTTGCCAGCAACCATGCCACATTGAAATACTGGTTTAGTTTGGAGTTGGTCTTTAAACTTGGTAAAAAATATATCTTTAATGACTGTTCTGATGAATGAAATCCTGAACAAAAACTACAAAGACAATTAGGGCATAAAAATAGATTTTATTACATGCTCTTTTAGAGGGTTTACATAGTATGATGATCAGTCCATTCCGTCCGGTAGAAACTTAAATACAGCAATGTGCTGAAAGTCACTCCAACAGTTGATTGTTCTAAAAAGAATAAACCTAATACTTGTCACAGACCCTCATCGAAGAAGTTCAGATCCCAAGCACACATCCAGCCATCACAGAAAGCCACATACACGGAGTAGGAATGTACTTGTTCTGCCCGACTCATGTGCAGCATGGACATCTCTAAACTGTACAAGAAATGGCTGACACGGCAATGGTCATGCAATTCTCTTTATTACTTGTGTGTGAGATTCCCCTGAGGTCCAATTAGTATTTTGTAACAGTCTTACACAACCCTGTAAATGGAAAAAAAGTAGAAGACAGGCCAGGAAATGAGGGCTACCCTTTATGGTAAGAAATAGAGGAGAAGGCAATTATCAGAAGCAACAGAAACAGGAACCATACCGCACTCCTTACCAGGATTCCCACTTGATGAAGATGGGTGCTCGAAATGACTGCGGATGGCACCGCCACACATGAATAGAAAAATGTCACCAGCACACCATACGTTGAAAAAGCAAAATATTTTATTGCCACTAGCTGTATCTCATTGGCAAGCGCTTTAGGGGCCTCGCAGGGTCCCCTTCATCTCTAAGCCTGATGAAGGGGACCCTGCAAGGCCCCGAAAGCGCTTGCCAATGAGATACAGCTATTGGTAATAAAATATTTAACTTTTTCAACTTATGGTGTGCTGGTGACATTTTTCTATTATTAATTATCAGAAGCACACACAGCCTGCACTCTACATGTTTTCGTTTCTAATCTTTTAAAATGTGTTTCTAAGAAGCCAAAAAAGGCACTGCATGGTCAAAGCTCTCAAAATTCAAAGGTAATCATACGGTACCAGATAATACCACCAGTTTTTCATGCCCCGCCATATGAAACCATGCACAGGAAACCTTATAGGTTGCTCAGGCAATGAACTCTGGGGAGAAAGGTGGCGTGTCTATGAATACATTACCAAAAAGATGGTATTTAATTGTGCATTTTAGCAGAATCTGTTGGTATTCTGGGTAGGGTGGGTCCATCGTGTAAAACTAAAATGTAAGTCCTGGAACCTTATGGTGTCTCTTCTACAGAAACAATAATTTAGTTCTAATAAAGTCACCAATGTGTTACAAGGATTTTTGTAGGCTAAATGAAAATTTGACCACTGCTTCTCACCACTCAGATGTTCTTTCCCCTGCAACTTCCTGATCATATAGTGGAACAGGGCCCTCTTAGTGCCATTATAATTGAAAGGTCTGTTCATTATATGCAAGTGGGATGCAGTTCCATAGGAGCCTGGAAGGAGATTGCTTTGGCAGAGCCAAGGGTCTTATAGGAAACCTCTCAAGTGACATACTTTACCTACCAAGCTGTCCTCTTCTGAAAATGCTGTTTGGCTGGCATTCTAATCCCTATGGCTGTAATACTTTCTGAATCAATGACTTTCACCTGCTAATTAGACCATTGCTACTTGTTCTGGATTAATTACTTAAATTGGGGCCAGAGACCCAAGCACCTAACATGTTCACATGTAGTTCAGCAGTAGAAGCCCAAGTATTTCTTTCATGAAAGGTATCTTTGCAACAGGGTACATGTTATGATTACTACATACAGCCATTAAACATCTTGGTCAAAATGTAATTTAGTCTAGAAAACCATTAAAATCTGCCTATCTGTCCAAACCAACTCCAATTACTATGCCCAAGTGCAGTAACTATAAAAAACGACCTCGTCCTTTCCAGTTCAGAGAAGTGCTTAAGGAAATTGGGCCAGCTGAGATGTGTGCATGGTTTTACGCGCTACATGATCTTCTTTCCTGCTCAGTAATACCGGCACAAACTGGTAAAGCCAATATTCCGACTTTAAAATGATGGCTGCCAACCTTTACTTTGCTATAATAAGGCACTGCCTTTGTAGTGTATGTCAGTAACTGGTTTCATCTGGTAAGCACCACTCTCCACAGTTTTTAAAATACAAAAATTCAATACTCAGTGTAAAGCTATTTGGATTCTTATAAGAGTCAATGGACAATTATCTTTGCTTCAAGTCAACTATCAAACAGCATAATGAACTTTATATATCCATATATATATAAAACATCAAAGCAGCTGAACAACATTAAAATCCCTTTGGTTTTGACGTGTTTGGACTAATTAAAAACATTCTATTTTGGAGTAAAAATTAACTTAATAAAAGGCATATTGCAACACAAGGGTATATGATGTTTACCAGTGATTAAGTAAGCCCTTTAATCTCTTTCACTTTTATCAGCAACACAGCTGTTAACTGCTACCCGTAGGACATCAGGATAACAGTAACCTGTATTATTGCCAGTATCAAACTAGGAGATATGACCTCTTCCACATTCACATACAGTTCCGGACTGTGGCACCTTCTGTTTATCAAGGATGCATCCAGTGTAAAAAATCCAAACAGAAATAAAACAAAAGCTGTTGTCTGTTCGTGGCACATTATCATTCGATGCTCTGCAATGCTAGCTAGTCTTGTGCTTGGGATAATGCAGTTATAAAAAAAGGCCCATCATCCCACTGAGAAAAAACACTGCAGAGTGCCAACACAGCAAAGATAAACTTATATCGGTCACTTGGACACAACATAGGAACCAATTTGTTGTCTGAAGCAATATACAAGAGTAGGGAGGCAAACTAATTGCGAAGGGTTATTAAAATTTTGCAAAACGCTTTTGGTAGAAGCAACTGTTAAAATGTGCATTACTGTAGTTGCTCATACTGTAGTCATTTTCTATCATTCCTGCGGTCAACAGACATTTACTCAGATATGAGAGGGAACACTCTGTACAGCAAGTAACTAAAAGTGTACCGACTGGCTGATAAACACTCATTAGTATATAAAGAACAGCAAAGATCCCTCTGTATTGCTTTCAGCCATTGCTGATTTTTCTGCTGTCCTACAAGAATTCTAGAGACTGGTATAAAAGTTGGATAAAAAACTATAAATGGCTTTCAGAACAGCATTATCAGTGCAGCTATAATACAGAAACTGCCGGTAAATATACAAGGTTAGAGTCAAAACCTCCGTGATTTCACTTGTAAATAGACAGGCTGCATCCGCATCACTTTTGTTCAGGCTACAAAATGACTTTCTATAGAAGCAACAAGTACTATTCAACTTTCAACATGCCTGTAACACATATATATGACATTACAGTTGAGATAAAGCTTATTTTCATCTATCATGTAATGCTGGTGAGCCAGCATTACTTGGGCTCCTACTCCCCCTTTAGGTCCCTGAACTCCTGTATGTATCAAGTTATTAAGCTGTTTAAAGTACCGGCATGTATCTTGTAATTTCTCAGTATTGTGGCCTAGCTTTGTACAAATTGATGAATTTAAAGATATGAAGACTAAACAGCAGTATAGGACTAGAAAAAAGGGAGGTACATGGTACCATTATTTAAAAAAGGACACTTTCTCCTATTAGTGCACCAACATAATGGCATGTATAGATCCCTGCATTCACCACCAACGTGCCACTGAGCACGCAGGCCATAAGGAGTGTGAACTGTACGCAGCTCGCTCGGAAAAGGCCTCATTATCAATATCCACTTTTGATCCTCTTCCTCTAAGGCCAAAGGCACTGCGAGTGTGAGATTACAAAGAAAAAAAAATGAAAGAATATTAAAAAGATATAAAAATGTCCCCTGAAAAAAACTCAAGGCAAGAGGAGAAAACTCAAGGGGCCCTCAGCTGGCCAAGACTGGTATAAATGTCCTCGGAGTCACTGAGCTCCTCGAAGATTGGGATGAGGCTCAACAGCTCTGTGTCCCCCATATCATCGAACCAAGACTGCACAGGCACCTGCAAAACAAAATGGAGGAAAACCAATTGGAACGCTAAGAACAATTTCATTTTAATAAAAAACATTTTATTACCCGTGCCTGGATGGGAAGGGGGTTTAACACCGCGGATGTCAACTGGTTAATGAAGATTACCACACCTTTTGCCGACTGTTAATTTAGGAATTTTGTGGCATCAATTGCTGTAACAGAGGTAGTGAAATGCATCTTATGGTGACTCCAAATCAATTTGCATGCAGTTAGATCCTTGTCCTCCGAGGCCAAAAGGCAAAAACAATATAATCATGGTTCAATTAGCTCCAACGGGGAAGAACAAATTATTTCCTGAACCCATAAGGCAATTGGATATTCCCTGGATCAATGATCTCTGCGGTTTCCTTTTCCTTAACAGAAAACTAGTCACAAATGGCCTTATGCTACAATCCAAATGATCCATCTCACATTATTTTGTGTGGGGTTACTTATTAAATATTTATATGTGCTCATTTATATAGCTTTATTTTCTCTGTCTGTGTCAAAATCTTTACCCGGAGTTAGATGTCAGAGGTCACCTGTAATCCGACAGCTGGTGTACTGTCAACTTAAACAATGGCTCCCATTGCGTGTATAGCAGTACCAAATAAAAGAGCCCTGTGGTTCTCCACATTCTTTTTAAACTAGGCATGAGCTCAGGTCCGAACCAAACCTGGTCTGAACATGGGCTCCTGCGAACCTGGAAGGGACATGGGGCCAAACTCCCGCCCCCAAGAAGCTGCAGGTCGGGGAATTTCAGCTTTGATAGGGTGGAGAAGCCCTGGTTTGGACCCTACTTTTACCTATATGGCTTGGTTATTTTACACAGTTGCAAACTCAGGAAGCGGAAGGACAGTGTGTGATGTAGTTGAAAAAGGGAATATTGAAATAAAAAAAAACTATCAGACTTAAGGTGACCTCTAAAAGTCTCCATAAACTCAGACAAAGACTCAAAAAACTAAATGCCGGAACATTTAATAAATGTAATATATATGATGATAATAATAATAAAAATATATAAGAATATGAGTATTATTATTCTTGAACAAGCCCTGTTGCGACTGGTTCTCTTTAAATTAGTAAAAGGCAGAAAGCACAGTGTGTCAACATTCCGAAACGTTTGACACTAAAAGGTACCAAAAACTGTATTGTTAGTTTAGACATATTTCAGGATCTGAAAGGTCATTCTTTTTAATGTAATGCATCTGGCTGTCTCTTATCATTTGAAAATGCCAATCACAAACAATAAAAAGGAGAGGCGGTTGGTAAGTCGCACTACAATGACAGCTATAGAGAAAGAACCTAAAACTGTTTCTAGAGACAAATTCTCAAACTGCAGTAGTAATCTTGTGTCATGCACTCGGAATATAAATGTTTAAGTCTTTTATGATTGACATTACGCAATAATCTGACAGCAGAAAAACTATGTAATGGCTTGTACCATAGGCACCCTTAGAAGAGTAATGTAACAAGCTCAGCAGCTGTGGTAAAACAAACCTCTCTTCTTCCACTGGAGAGAACATGAAATGCACCAATATTTATGAAGCAGAAAGAACTTTTAATCAATGCTCCACACAGCTCTCGACATCTGGTATTGTTAATGGTTTCCAAGCAACCAGCCCCTCAATACAATCTGTCAGCAATACTATTGCAATAATTAAAACGGAAAAGGCTTGGAAAATCAGAGGGATGTCCCTCTATTTATTGACCTCTTCTTTGAAAGTGAAAAACCTCTGCATCTGCAATGCTGACAAGCACACAATTACGTTGTATACCAGTGTATTCAAGATTAAAGGGAGAGAATGAAACAGATATAAAGTAGAAAAATCAATAGTCTGGATACAGACTGAGTGTTCCATTTTAAAATAGCAGCGATTTAGCAGAGACATAATGCACGGCTTTTATAGGATCCAACAAGGATGCCTCTTCCAAGAAGTAACACAAATGCCTGTCTGCTTAAACCATCTGGTAACTGCAGACCTGAAGATACAGGGAAGTTCATTCTGTAAAATGATGGGTGCTGTGGTGCCCACAGGAAAAAAACAAACAAACCACACAACAGAAACCTATGTGAAGTGGCTTTCCCAAAATGTTGACACTAGTCCTTCAAGTCTTGGAAGAACAAGTTTCTGCATGTACTAATGTACCTCCAAAAAAAGGTTGAAATATCACTCAACTCAAACGTACACCGTATTGCAACTTTGACATACACGATGCAACACACAACATGTCATGCATGTCTTAAGGCCCTATTTAAAATGGAGAGTGAATGCCTAAAATTACAGAACTGGTAACAAACTTTGTATGGGTATTTCTTGCAGCTGACCATTATTTGTTATCTGTGCAGAATATAAGCAGCTATTCTATGAAGACTGAATTCATAAGTATGAGTGGCCTTTGTGAAACATATTTCTCTCACTTGGTGCAGACTTAGCCATATCGGTTAAAAATCCAGCTTGCTCCCATTAAATTCGGACACCTGCTGGAGATGTCAGGCTGAGATAGGCACACTGACACATATCTGATGGAGCTGCCTCCTGCTTCTACCCTTTTGGCGAGCCGTCTCGCACTTGGAACTCCTCTGTCGTACCCTCAGTGTTGGAGTGGACGGTGGAACTGTGTAGGCTGATGAGATCTGAGGAGCTAATCGCTGAACGGGCTGACCGATCTGATTCCTTTATGGCCAGATGGATGCCCTGAATGATGTTTATGGACTCTGAGGAGTACTGATCTCTATGGTGAGTGAGCTTCCCTTCCCTATGCCTCTGTCACCACGGGGTCTGCGGTGGTGTGCCCGCAGGGGACTTGGTGGTTACCCTTCTACGGACCAGACAGGAGGATGGACACTCCCTCTCTCTCCCCCTTTCTTTTCTCTTTCCCCCCCTACCCCTACCTTCTCTCTGCTTCCTCCCTTTCCCACCTCCTCTCCTCCTCTGGAAAGGACCCTTACATGCCTCACTCAATGATTCTGCTGTATATATTAATGACTTGCATGTCTTACATTTTATGTGGCAGGAGTTTCATTGGGATCTGTATAGCTGGGCCTGCGAGACAGATGCTCTATTTTCTGTTTTTTTTACCTATGTGTCTTATAAGGATGTTTCTATGAAACTTTCTCAATAAAAACTATTTCTGTAAAAAAAAAAAAAATCCAGCTGGCTGACTTTTGCATTTAGGAATCTTAATAGGTATATTACGGTAAATACACTCCATAACAACTCAACCCTGGATATGACGATATTTTTAAATTATATTCTAAATTCTTGTGTCTTTTTTTTGGCAAAATTCAAATGCAAAAGGAAAACATAGGAATGTTTTTATCCACCGAATTGTACATTTTGCCTATTTCTCAACCAATCTGTTAAAACAGGTGCAAGACCCCCCTTGATACCCATCTTTACCGTGTTGTTATCACAATGCCTCTCCTTCTTATTGTCTTTGATTAGTTGGCTCAACTGACAAGTAACTGAAACAATCAACAGGCAAGATACATTAACTGCATTATGAATGAAATGAAAAAAAGTACATGCATCTGCTCCATGGTGCAATTACACGCAAATGAGTTGTTTTATGGGAGTGTAAAAGAGTAAACATACACTGGTATTAGCACTTACTGCATTTTCTGGGTGAAATATGTAAGATGCTGGAGAATTGTCTAAGATAATAGTTTTCTTCAGGTCTCTGCCTAGACGGCTCAAGTCTTTGACATAGCAACCCTGATGGAAGACACAAGCTTCTCTGAAGAGACGGGAACTGAAGACCCCTTCCTTGTCTAGAAGGTCAGTCACTGGATCCGCATACTGTGGGAGGAGAGTTAAGATACTGAGATACTGCCTACTTAGTGTAACAGGTTAATACAATAAATCTGCAGTAGGTAATGGTGTGTAGCTTACCACAACAACAAAAGATCATATTTTAATAGTGTGACTACATGGTTTTGAAAGTTAAGTCAACCGGACTTCACTGTTCTTTGCACCATTATATACGGTGTGGACACAATAAAGGGACTAGTTTGTATCTGGATGTCTAATTTTTCTCTTCTTTTTACACTGGTGTTGTCCCATTACTGTGCACTTACAAAACCAGACAATTATCCACATAGCAGAAGGTGACTTAATCCCCCCATACAGTACAATTGATCAGTAGTATACATGAGCTCACAAGTAACATGAGGAGAGTAGAGAGATGAGCTTCTCAGTCTGCTGCTGTCCTAGATTATTATAATATATTCAGTCACATACACACACACACACACACATATATACATTATATATACATTATATATATATCATACCATTGAATGTTTTACCCCTCTGTCTGGCTACTGTACACCATTTAAAAACACTCTAAAGTAGAAGATGCCTCTAAGAATGGCCACCAAAAGAAGTGTCTGGAGCATTATTATTCAGGATTTGTATAGCAGCAGCAGTTTGCACAGCCCTTCCCAAAATAAAAGGAGACATTACAATATAATACAAGACAAGAGGGTTAGGAAGATCCTGCTTGTGAGGGCTTACAATCTGGAATTAATATAAAGCTTGTGTTTTCCTTACCTTGGCAAGGCTAGCAGTAAATAGCACACATTCATAGAGCTGACCCATTCTCTCCAGAAACTCATCAACATAAGGCCTTTTCAGAACATAAACCTGAGGTGGGTAAAAGAGATACAGGTAACCAACCGTAGGTAATGGCCTATTAGGTAACTGCAAAACACTGTAACAAGATAACCAGATGAGCGATCACACATCATAAACTGTACAGTTGCTGTAGCTATCCCTCCTCTCTTGTGCTGTAGGAGAAGATTTAGGATAACACAGCTCAGCATACCGCTGCTTACATATGTGAAATGTCTTACAGGATAAAGGTATCCTCAATAGTGGGCTGAAGCCAGTGTCAGTTGATGGCATTTTCTGGCCCTTTAGATATAGGGGTTCAAGAGGGCTCACCAAGAGACGGAAGCAACATGGAAATCCTGTTTAAAAGGAACCTTTGAGAACACAAATATGGGTGCTGCCATTACTGACTTACTACCACCATTTTATTCTATAGGGTCTTGGCATTCAGAAAATATATAATGTTGGGGGGTTTTACGTAATTTTCAGGCCTAAAATGTGGAATATAACATGGGTGCAAAAATGGAAAAAAGGGCCTCAGTCATGAAGGGGTTAAAGAACGTCACGTACCAAAGCTGCAATCCTGATCCTGGCTTAACTACTTGGGCAAGTCACTGACATGGAACAAGGATGTGCACATTAGGTATCAAGACACCCATCATGCACACTTGCTCCACGTCAGCAACTGACTACAAAAGGAAAGCCAGGATAACAATGACAGCCCCGGAACTTGCATTTAAAAAAGGATTATGTAGGCAGGCATCAAACAACGGTCAGCTTTTCCAGTTGCTTTACTGGTGCAGTGTGAATTACAGTTCCGAAGGTACGTTTGACCTGCTTTATTTTGTATTTTGTTTCTTTTAATGCAACAGACCCTATTACAATAGGTTTGCATTGCAGGTAAGCAGATCAAAGCCTTGAGTGCATTTTGCATTTGAGCAGTGCTGTGTTTGAATGTTAAAAGGCATAGTTCAACAACTCCCATCTACACAAGGCCAAATGCAAGTCAGCAAAAGCTGCTTCCATGTTTCTGTCCTTGCGGATTCCTTTTAAAATGCATAAAACTTCCAACAAATACAGTACAACAGGGCATCTTATTACACATCTTCAGGTATTCCATTGTTCTCATTGGAGCAAGACCGAAAGTATTCCAACCAGCGGTGAGACGGAGCTCAGATGAAATATGAGCTGCTTCCTGAAACAAGTAATCAAGAGTAGGCCGCGCTGTAAGGAAACAGCCTATCCTGGATTACTTGAACCAGGTAGCAACCATGTCTTTCCACTTTGATCTGTTATGGAGACAAAAGCATTTGTGGGGTTTTTTTTTTTTTAAATAATACAGAAAAACTGTCGCCTCACCTGGTGCGTGGTCCCCTCAATCTCCACTGGTACTATGAAATCTGCATTGCTGATGGGCTAAAACAACAAACGGAACAAGAATGATCACATTCAAAAGCAAAGTAAGAATTAAAAGTATTTTAACAACTTTGACCAATAATAAAATGAAGGTAATCTTTTCTACAAAGGGGATCACAAACCACTATTTACATGGACTGGACTGTTTGAGGTCTAGACAAGAACAAATGCTTGTACAAGACTGCTGTATAACACAGAATACAGTACGATCATACAGTCTCTCTCTCTCTAGAGAGAGACTGTATGATATATATATATATAAATTGATTTACAACCAACTATTTGCAGATTATTCTAACATACTTCTTAAAGCTATCACAAACATATGCAAATGTGCACAATGAATCAGTAAAAACATTACAATAAACACTGCAAAACAACATGAAATAAAGTTCCCAGTGAAAACCAACTCAGAAATTGTTTAGTGTGACATCACCATCAGTGCATTAATAATATCAGATGCGACAAGCTGGCCGATAAACTCTGCCACCTGGTGTTGACCTAATTTAAAAGGAGAACTATGGGGTTAAGTCTTTTCCCCATAGTTCTTCTTAGGGTAACGGGAGGACACAAACTAGCGTCCTCCCGTCACCCTAGGCTCAGTATACCGCGAGCTATAGCTTGCGGTATACTGAGACGCCGCAGCTGAAGCGGATCCCGACAATTGTGCCGGGATCTGCCCAGCTGCGTGACTGACAGCTGGCTCTGCCTATCGAAAAGGCAGAGCCAGCTGTACCCGCCCCCTCCCCCGTCCATTCCGCCAGTCAGCGCTGGCGGAGTGGGGAGGGGGGAATCCAGCCCCTCCCCTGTCACGGCAGAGAGCCGTGACTGGATCGAGGAGGTGAGCGAACGCCGGTATGTGTTCGCTCACCTCCCGATCTACTGAGCCGACCTGTGACAGTCTCATTGTCACAGGTCGGCTAGAACTAAGAGGTGAGTGAAAAGCACTCACCTCATAGTTCTCCTTTAATCATATCACATACGACTACATGCAGAATGCTGCTTCACTGTCACCCGGTCACTAACGTAAACAGCAGCCGCAACTAAACTTGACATTTGGGATTCCTGCAGCAGGAATCAATAGGTTCTTGACGCAAGAATCCAAAAACGCAAGGTGTGAACGTAGCCTAAGGCCTTATTCTCTCCATCATCTACAGTACTTTGACGTTTAATTTCCATACATTGCCATTTTAAACTGGAGCATGTCTTACCTTAAAAGAACTATGAACTAGGGTTTCATCCAAATCAATTACCATACATATCTTCCCCTTATCCCTGGGTGCTACCTCAGGAAGCAAGGAGGTACCTGGAATCTGAAATAAAAAAGGTACAAGATGTAAGCAATCCATTTCAGTTGGCAATATTTAATGGATACCCTGTTTCCCCGAAAATAAGACCTACCCTGAAAGTAAGACCTAGCATTATTTTTCAAGATTCCTGTAATATAAGACCTACCCCAAAGATAAGACCTAGTTTGGTGGTAGGATGTGAGAGGGAACTCGAAGAGCAGGAGAGGTGGTATCAGCCTGCAGGGACATACTGTATTAAGGGGATGACAGGAGACTCCATCTGGCCAGCGCAGTGACAGGGAGCTCTCCAGTACCATACTTCACCAACTGCTGTCCCCCTGAAGGCTCTATTTAATGTAATAGTACTGTACTGTAATATGTACCGGTAAATGGTACCGTACTTTACCACGCTGTCCACTGTCTGATGTCCCCTCTGCTGCACCGCTTGTACCACTGTCCCTGATGGCAAAGGAGGCCGTTGCTGTAGAAAGCAAAGCTGCGGAGGGAACTGAGTCGCATTAGCCGATACTTCCTCTATAGCGCCGGATAATAACTTTGAAAATAACGTTGGATTGTTGTACATTTTGTTGCACATTAAAAAAAAAAAAAGACATCCCCTGAAAATAAGACCTAGTGTTTTTTTGGGGGGCAAAAAAAATATAAGACAGTGTCTTATTTTCAGGGAAACACGGTAGAGCATAACCTCAAACGCACTAAACAATTTGGCACAACCAGGCACGAGACGATAGTAAATCACAAGAAAGGGAAGATGGACAACACTGGCACTAGCTGTACTAACAAAACCTAATACTGCTTGCCAACCTCTCCCACTTGCATGAAATATGCTTCAAAATGGATGCACAGTAGTGATGTGTTCATCTTTTAACAAACTGACACAATTCAGGTGAGTAACTATGGCAACAGAATCATCACGTCCTGTGCTTTTTTTATGCATCAGAAAAACACTGGGTATCAATAGAGGAATGTGCCACATTTCAGAGAACAGCGGTACACTTCAGTAAGGAGGCACTCCAGATTTTAACAAAATTCACCCTTGCAGTTGGGCTACACCCGCACTGCAAAGGTTAACTGCTTGTTTTGGTCTAGGGGATGGAAAACAGAAGATATACCAACCTGATCCCCGGTCCTGCAGTCAGTGCTCAGCTCTATCCCCCTCCACTCTGGCTGTGGTGTGTGCGTCAGAGTCCACATGTCTAATGCAAGTTAATTGACCTGCATTAGACGTGATGACGTCACGGATCCTTAGACCGCCAGAACATAGGGGAAAAGAGGCTCCAGACCAGTCAAGCAGCTAGATGGGATCGAGGATCAGGCAAGTATATCTTCTTAAAAGGAGAACTATTAGGAGAGTAAAATATACTCTTCCCAATAGTTTGAGCCAGCATACGATACTACAGGTGTCACACGCCGGCTCTATAGATCTAGAACTAAGCAATAATGAACCGCCAGCAACTCAGCTCACGGCTTTTCCCTGCAGAGAATACTGACTGTCAGTCACCGCTCCCAAAAAGGGACTCCCCCCTCCCTTTCTCCACCGCTTATTGGAGGGACAGACAGGGGAGGGGGCGGGCACAGCTGGCTCTAGAGAGGCAGAGCCAGCTGTCAATCATGCAGCAGGTGCATCCCGACAATATTGTTGGGAACTTTCGCAGCTGCAGCACGGCTCTGCGTTGTCAGCATATAGCAGGCTACAGCCCGCTATGGGTCTTTGTGGCTTTGGGTCACAGGAATACATTAGTAAATGTTCTCCTGTGACCCAAAAGAGAACTAGGTTTGGCTATACTTTCCTTTTAATCCAGCTCCTAAACCAAAACAAGCAGTTACCTTTGCACTGTGGGGGTAGCCTCACTGCAAGAGTTAATTTTGTTAATTCCTGGTGTTACTCTTTAAATGCCACAACTGAATTCTTAAGTGAAGTAAATTCTGAAGTGTAGTGATATTATATGACAATATGGACCATTTTTTGCATGTTTCAGTGGAGAGGTATTCTACTACTAACAAAACTAACGACATCTTCAGAAATCTGAAGGGGTTTCAGCAGGGAGGGAGTTCTTTAAAAAAAAAAAAAAAGGTATGCTCACTCTATCTTTGTCACACAAGGGGAAATCTATTAGACATTTCTAATTCTTCCTTAAAGGGATAAAAAAAATAAAAATGGTATTTACAAATACAGAAAGACAGCACTTCATTGATCATTGCTCTTCATGTTATCTACCTGGAAAAGATGAAAGAGTGAGCAGAGCTAGCTGGGATTAGATGCTGCGACCTGCAGGTCACACAGATGCTTCCAGGCAGCAGTCTCAGCTGGCTGAGCCACCTCTTCGGTCCCATTGGCTGAAGCATTAAAAGTGCAGGTGGAAGAAGCTTATTGGTGAAGGTGCATTTCACAAATTAGTTTCTTGAGATTTACATACTATGCACAGAACATGAAAAAATAGGAAATAAAAAAACAAAAAACAACACAACACTCGGGGGACAGGATTAGAGGGATAATAAAATAAAAGCGGAATATGCTCTAAATCAATATGTCACTCATCATGTTTTATGAGTGTCAGTGTTATTAAGTCAAAATGCAGGTTTACACAACACTAGTATTTAATGGAGCAAGGTGCCTTACCACGGTTTAGAGAAGAAGAAAAGTATAAAGAGTTCCTTTAGAATTACAAGACACATGAATAATCAGCAACTCTCCTAGGAGGGGCTGTAGGAGTCTGATGACTCTCATACTACTACGGAGTCAATATATCAGAGCTGTAGACACTAAAACCAAGACTCTGGCTCCTGAAGTTAGAAATTCCCATAAGGGTCATACATTTCCTAGCACACCAATATGTTTGTCACACGGTTTATTTACTTCCCAAAACAATGAACTACAATAAGCGCCTTTACTAGAAACTGGTAACTGTCAAACACAAACACTCTGTACTCATTATTCTGTATATTGATGCAGTACAGCATCAATTGGTTTATTTGTCATTCATTTTAAAACTAAGTTCTGACTCTTCAAAGGAAAGGTTTATCTAAAACAGCAGGTATTTGGGGTTTTGATTCTCTAGGGGGAAGGGGTATCCTGCAAGCATGATCATGACACATAAAGGACAAGTACCTGGTAGAACTGGTACTGGAGACATTGTAACAGATCCGCCTGGAGAAAAAAGGAATACATAACTGTTAGCAATTCAGTTAGAACAGCTATAAGTATATATATTTTTCTATACATATACACACAAAGTGGGTAACTGATGACTTACTATCTAGGCAGTGTTGGTCAGATGCACCAGTCTTAAATAGGTGACACAGGACCATGTGACTAACTAACAAAACATACAGGAAGAAAGTGCATAGGGATGGTAATATGCAGCGACACAACAAAAGGCATATTCAAAACTAACCAGTCCCTTAACCCAGACTTCCAGGATGCATTTACTCTGTGGAAAAGGACTACTTTTAACTGGAGTTTGCAGATGATTACAGCACAAAAAAGGGAAACTGGTGATCATTCAACATCATGCCTCAAGTTATTAGTTAACTGCCCACTTTTGGGGCCTTGGAAGATTGATCTAAGGGATAGCCCACACCATACACAGTGCGTTCCAGCACGATCCGCTGGGACCAACTGTGTGAATTTCAGTCGGTTCATCAAGAACTGGCCAACATTTGCACAGTGTTTGCCCAGCTTTAAAGAGAATACAGCTTCCTCTGGTACAGCCTAGCACCCATTTTCAAGGTAAACCAATGGAAGAAGTGGGTTCAAACTCTCTTCAATCGTCTTTTCTTATCCTTTAAGTGAGGTCCATATTGACAATACCTTTGGAGTTGATTGTGCCTCCTCCTTTTGGATGGGAGCCTCACAGGGGCCCCCTGGTCGACTGACATTCTGTGCACTAAGGCAACAGAAAAGGGCTTTGAAGATACTCCGACTTCGAGGCTTCTTTGGTGAGGATCTGGACACAAGTCCTGCAAGAGAAAAGATAAAGCCATGAATATATTAAATCAGTCAGCAAGTTTATGATAGGCTATATAGTATGAATGATAACCCTCAGATCCCTAGCTCCTACAGGACACACCAGCCAATGCCAGAAAACAATTTGTTTCTCAAGATACTTGCTGAAAGCAATAACTGTTATTCAAGTCCAACTGTCTCCTATTTACATTGGGGGCCAGCCAGTATTTTAGACTGTATTACTACACTAGGCAAAAGATCATCTGCACTATGTAACAATTACATTTCGCTACTGTCCACTAAGGTGAACGAATATATAGTGGGACAGCAGAGGAAATAGCTGAAATCCATGCAAACTGCTAAATACACAGATGTGACTAGTCTTATCTGTTCAAAAAAATGTATCATCCTGACCTGCTATTTCCTGACTCTGACACAAAAGTGGCCAGTAGGGTGACACCATTTTCTACAGTTAAAGAATATGGTGGTGCCATCATCCGGTCTGCAGCCTGCTGATTGAACTATGAAGGAGCAGCAACACACTGATATGTAATCCCGCTCTTTCATACAGCAGAGGCTGATTGGCTTCCAGCACTGTCCCTCCCCTTCACAGTCTGAGTGTTTTTGTACAAGGGGATGACATCAGGATGTTATTAATACAAATTGAATTATAAATGTATATTTGTATGAAAATTATAATATTTTTCTAGAAATACACAAATGAATTAAATTGGGTTTTCATATCAGCTGTAATTAATTAAAACATATACTATAAATATCTTAAATGAAAGTGATGTAGACATAGAAGAGGTTATATTAAGAGAGTAAAAGTCAAAACACCCTTACATAACCAATACAATACATCCTTCCACATGAACCAGACAGCAATTTAAACTTTTGAATGTAACAGACTTGCCTATAAGCAAGCAACATAAATTGTTGAAGCATCGCCTTTTTAGCCAGAAAATGATCATCTGTGCACTCTTCTGAAATTCGTTTCACTTTGTTGTTGAGAGCTCGACTTCCTGGACCTTCTTAATCCTATCCATCTACAAATCCCTGGTCTAATCTGAGTGCCCCTATAAGACACTCTTTGTGGACCCAGTGTTGTCAGGTGTACTCCCAAAGTCAAGAGAGTCTAGCCAGGAGGATAAGAGGAAGCCCAGAAAGGTTAACTTTTACAAGTTTTAAGGCAAAGTGACACAAGAAAGGTGACATCAGCCAGAGGCGTAATTAGTGACCTCAGGGCCCCGATGCAAGAATCCATAAAGCCCCCCTCCCCCCAGAAGAAAACAATTAGATACATGTTTTTTTTTTTAAACAAAACAAATTTTAGACACAAAAAAATAAACACTCTTGTCTTTCATGTCTCCATCTCCCCATTATCTCCCCCTTCACGTCCCCAGCTTTCCGCTCCCGGACCCCATGTCACCTTCATAGTCCCAGCTCCCTATATCTCCCCCTTCGTGTCCGGAGCAGCTCTCTATTCGGCAGCGTTTTGTGTGATGAGGGGGCGGGCTTAACACCGCTTTCCACTCATTGGCTGCTGCGCTGGCTGGATCATAATTCACGCAGCGCCTGGAACAAGGTGAGGGGAGCAGGGTGAAGCATGTAGGGCCCAGGACAGGAGGAAGAGGTCCCGGGACTGACATTAGCGGTTACCGGGATAATAAATATCCTGGTTATCAGCGGTTACCATGGGCCCCTTCCTCCTGTCCTATGCCCCCTCCAAATGGCCAAACTCCAGGGCCCGGTCGCAGCCGCGACCTCTGCGACCCTGGTAGTTCCGCCACTGACATCAGCTGCCATTACCTGGAAGCGGATCCATTTCCAGGTCAGGAAGATTACCATTTATGCATTAGCGCTACTTTTTGTTGACCTGAAAAAAATGCTAGTTGCCTGGATGTTTTGCTAATCCTAGGACTAATCCAGAACAAGAAAACAGATTAGAAGTTCTCACTTCTCTTTCGGAGACTCTGGTTTAAAAAAAATGTAATTCAAAAGATGAGCATGGCAGCTAGTAATCCAATAATTACGGTAGGAAGGTGATTAGCTATGGCAGGCTATATATTTCTCCTGCTTAAGGAAGGAGGCCATGGACTGGCTAATCGGCACTGAAATATGCAATTCCATGACACACCACTAGGAGGTACTCTAAGCGCTAAGATTTTATGTTTGACTGAAGAAGAGGCGTACTTCAGTACAATTCTGAATAGACTGAACTGACTTTAAGATCCAGATACACAGCCTGTGGCAGAGATTCAAGAAAGCTAAAATCAATGCATAAATTATAATAAATATGAGACTTCATGATTTGTTTTTACACCTGATACCAGCAAAAATAAAAATATTTTTTAAAGTACCACTGCTGAACAGCAATTTACTTCTGGATTTTATGATAACCGGAAATCTAACAAACTGAAATTCTTTTATAAATATACATATTTTTAAATATTATTGTGTTTAATATCAATTATTTCCTAAAATGTTAACTCAAGCTTTAAATAAAGGAAGAAAACCCACAAAATAGCACGTCTCTACCGTGCAGCCTACGTGATCCTCCTCACACTGGTGTTGCTCTAACCAGCACTGGCTGCGTTTGCATGCTGTCACGTAGGCCGGGGTTGTGCCTCAGGATGGCCATCATTCTGTAAGAATGGCACACAAGGACACAGTCAGGAGATGACAATACCGCACTCAGGGTTCATGGTGGGCCAGTACTGGTCTTGCTTTCAGGAAGTTTGTTATTAACAGATTTGCAAGGCAAGCCGCAGCAGTCTGCTTACTCCGGACCTTTCTAGTCTTCAATTAAAGTCACAGTGAACCTTTACCATGAGCAAAGCACAAATACTCAGAGAATTTTCACTGGATGCTTCAAGTGCTTTAGGTGGTTTTCTGGTTGAATACAACATTCTTATGAATGCAGTCAGATCTGCCAGAAATAGTGTGCATGAACCTTGGGGAATGATTAGTAAAAGTCCTTTGCAGGCAAAACAAGTTGCCTTCACACTCTTTACAGTTTAATACTGATGGACTTTCCAGTCCTAAGAGGTGGTGGCTGCGTTAGTTTTCTTTTTTTTTTACCTCTGTTTTCATCTGGTATAAAAACAACACACTTCAGCCACCCTAGGTTCACTCACTGCACTCTACCTATGGAGTAGCAACGTTGTCACCCTAGGCTGCTCGTTCCTTATATGGGTTACAGAACACCTCTCCTCGTCCTCCTTAACATATGCGGGAGACTTTCTGTAGTTTTTACAGCTGTCCATGTTCTTCTCCACCTGTAGTCCTCTTCCTGGATGAATGATGCCACCCATTCATCCTACCCACAGGCAGTCTTAGATACGCCCTCTAGGGGTGTGCCATCACACAGCTTAGGTCTCACGGTATAATGCTGCACAGAACAGTGCTTGCACGTCATTATATGGAGCTCTAGCAGCACTAAAGACTTCCCACCAATGGAGAAGAGAAAGGACCACACTTGTCACTTGATTGGCCAGAAGAGGCCTGAAGGATAGGTATGCATTCTAAAAATTCTAGTCACAATAAAAGTCACCACAGTGCGCGCACACATAGAGCATGCTCGTTGCCATGTTTTGTGCTAATGCACACTCATGCATGCTTTTTAGAATGCGTTGCCACAATGTATAGGTGTCAATGGGCCAACCTGTCAGATTTTACTGCGGTGTGGTGCTACCAGAGACAGGATATAAGGAAAAATGTCAACAGGGAACACAGACAACCCCACCACCGTCCACATGGGTTTCTGGAGAACTGCCAGATAGCAATATGCTGAACTTCTCTTTATCACATATTAAATTAGAAAAATGCAATTATATTAAAGGATTGCATGCATCAAGTCGGCATAAGTCATATATATAGACAAAAAAAAAAAGGTAGTGAAACAGTCTCTGTTCTGCTCATCTCTCATCTCCATTTACTTT